GGACGCTTTGAGGACAAGCTGCCCCAAGTCCACTGCACAGAAGTGGTGACAGGCCGTGCAGCGTGGTGTCAGGAAGTGGGGGCTTTCACCCGCCCATGGTGCCTGGTGACACTGCAGAGTTTGCAGTAGAGAGGACGGGATGAGAAATTGCAGCGTTCCTCTGCATAGGGGACAGATGCCAAAGGAAAACAGAAGTTCATTCAGACCGGGTAGAAGGCCTGGTTTTGGATCCTGCCCAGGTGGTTACCGCTGTCTTAATAATTATTCACGGTGTCAGAGCCAGGGAGACCATCTGCCCGACAGCCTTTCTCAGCTCCCTCTCTGTCCTTCAGGAGGCCATGGCCAAGAGTGGGGTGTATGTGGGGGAAGAGCTCGTAGGAGCTTTTACGTTTTTATTTATTATTACTTTGTTTATAAAAACCCTTCCTGTATTATCAAAGTTTTCAAACACCCAAAAGTAGAGAAAATAGTGTGATGGACCTTCTTTTTCCCAACACCCAGCTTTGACACTTACCATCATTTTATTAATCTTCTTTCCTCCATCTCCACCCCTCCCCCACCTCATCCATCATATATACACCCTTGTAGTTTTGTTTTCTTAATTTTTAAATTTTTATTTATTTATTTTTAAAGATTTTATTTTATTTATTTGACAGACAGAGATCACAAGTAAGCAGAGAGAGGGGGGGAAGCAGGCTCCCCGCTGAGCAGAGAGCCCGATGCGGGGCTTGATCTGACCTGAGCTGAAGGCAGAGGCTTTAACCCACTGAACCACCCAGGTGCCCCTGTAGTTTTGTTTTTAAAAGAAAAGTAAATTGGGGTGGCTGGGTGGCTCAGTGGGTTAAGCCTCTGCCTTCGGTTCAGGTCAAGATCTCGGCGTCCTGGGATCAAGTCTTGCATTGGGCTCCCTGCTCTGTGGGGAGCTTGCTTCTCCTTTTCTGGGCAAACCCTCCGCCCACCACCGCCAGTGCTCTTGTCACGCTCGTTCTCTTTTTCTCAAAATAAATAAATAAAATCTTTAAAAAAAAATAGAAGCAGAGTAATTGTACAGTTTGGTGTGGCCTTAATGGTTAGTGGCGTTATTTTTTTTATTTGTCCCCGCTGCTCAGAGCAGTGCAGGCAGAATGATCATTGGGCTGTCGTCATGGTGCTTGGCGATGCGAGACTCTGCCATTTTGTTTGCTGTCTGTCTGTCTGTCTCTCCTTGATCCTGCTCCATTTGGATTCATGGCATTCTGGTCAAGAGTCAGGTCCAGTGGTTTCAGTCAGGGCTCTGGAAGTCATGTGGGGGTCTCCTTTGGTCATTACAGTAAGTGGGGAATGCTGCTACTGGCATTTAGGCCGGCAGGGGCTCCAGGGAGTGGGACTCAGGGGTGTTCACTCGTCATAAATGTCAGGGGTTGTTTTTGCACTGTGAGCACTTGTCCCATCCACCGTTGGTCATGTTCCTGGGCACTTCTTCTTCTTCTTTTTAAAAAATATTTTATTTTTTAAGTAATCTCTGCATCCAGGGTGGGACTGGAACTCACGACCCCAAGATAGGAGTCACATGTTCCACCAACTGAGCCAACCAGGCGCCCCAGCTCCCGGGCGCTTCGGAATGTACAATGTAGAGCAGGGAATCGGCTTTCTCTTGGTGCCTTTTAAGGCTTAAAATCTGATACAATCCGTTTGGCTCTAGATCTGTTTTGGCTCGTGCAATCAGGAGACTGTAACTAGCCTCTAGCATGTTTTTAAGGGTTCATCGTTTGATCCAGATTCTTTGTTTGTAATACTTGGGCAAATGTGGTATCTTGCAGCCTCCGTCTCAGCTTTACATTATCCCTTTTTCCGCCTGTCATTACCATTAGCATCCCTGCCACTGCCCAGTGGAGAATGCGGATGGAGACACAGTGACATTTAGCTTGACAGGTCGTTTGCAGCTTTCTTGTGCCCCAGGGACTGCTGGTGAGAGAGAGGTTGTGGAAGATAAACCACGGAAGGGTTGTAGCCTGCGGGGGCCGGCTTATAGGATATTCTTCTGCTGCTTCCAGCCATCAGCCTGGTGCACCCCATAGCAGGTGGTAGCTGATTATCTCGGGGGCAGTTAGGGAGCCTCGGTGGGCAGAGCATGGCCAGTCACCCTTCTGAGTTCTTTTTGTTTTCAGCCGCACTCTAGATGGATGGCAGCCTTCCTCTGCGGGAAATGAAATGTGTTCAGACAACTTGGGCCCCAGGCACAGATGAGAATGGACTAATGGGCACCGAGGATAGAGCTGGGGGGAGACACACAGTTAGTCATTATTCATCTGTGACAGCTGCTGGCCGCTGCTGGTTAGCACGGATGGTGCCCGGGGTGCAGGTGCTCTGGGCTTGTCCTTTCTGGAAGACTCTGGGGCCGATAGGCCTGTCTCAGCCTGTGTGCTGTGCAGACCCCAAATCTGCATGATAGAGGCGATTGGTAACTTGATGCAGGATGAGGGGAGACCCTGGTCGACCTGGGGAGAGGGTCCAGCCGACATGCGTGTTTCTGCACTTTTCCACGGTAATCTCACTTAACTCTTACGCCATCCCTGTGGGGTAGGTAATTAGGACTGTTCCCACGTGACACTCGAGGAAGCTGAGGCACAGACAGCGAAGCAGAAGCTGAGGTTAGAGGCAGGCCTCCGTGAGCTCAGAGAAGAGTGTGCCTTGTTCTGAGAAGCCGAGACTTGGGCTAAGTGCCCGCTTGAGCGCCTCACTGTCACGCTGATTTTGAATCGAGCAGCTAATTACTTCCTAGCCGCCCCCCCCCCCCCCGCCCCACCGCTCTTTATAGCTTTTGTGGATGTTGTTTCTCTTCACTTGTTTGACTTTTAAGTGGCTGAGTCAGTTTGCAGTGTTTGAGCTGCTTGTTGAGCCTCACCTGCCTATCTGAAAATCACAACTGAACCTTTTTTCCTAACGTGGCGACATCACTCGGGAAGACTGGCTCACAGTTCGGAGGAAATGCCAGCCCGCAGAAGGCACATGGCTTTAATTACTTAATCTGGGCTCATTTTAAAAATTGGAATGACCGTCTCGTCATCGGAGTTCTGTGTCCGTTGTATTTTATTCCTGCCCGGGCTCCGGCTAGCTAACCACCTGTGCTATGAGCCGTGTGTCAAGGCCAAATGCTGCATTTTCAATACGAGAGTCAAATAGCAATTTAAAATCCTGACTTTCATACCTGTCTGTGAAATTCACTTAAATGGAATGGAAATACAGTGGGCTGCTTGTTATGAAACATTGACTCTCACTCCTGGTAGAAACCTTTACGAGCTGGGATTTATATATACATATACAGCACACATATATTTTCTTCTTTTTAGTTTGCCTTCCACTTTCTTGATTTGCCTACTTGTCATTTCTGCTTACAAATTAGACTTTTTGGGAAACTAATGGTCCCTTAAAGAGGTACATTTGGGGCACCTGGGTGGCTCAGTTGGTTAAGCATCTGCCTTTGGCTCAGGCCATGATCTCGGGATGGAGTCCTGCGTCGGGCTCCCTGCCAGTCGGGGAGTCTGCTTCTCCATCTCCCTTTGTCTCTCTCCTCGCTCCTGTGCTCTCTCTCTCTCTTTCTCTCTCTCAAATAAATCCAAGTCTTTAAAAAAAAAAAAAAAAGAGGTACTTTTTGTAATTTTGAAAATAAAACCTACCCCTTCAACATGCTGCTGCCTGGCTTGTCCACCTTGCTGTCTGTTTCTCCAGAGGATCCTTTTTGCTTCCCCATGTCTCCTCTTCCGCTGGGGCTAGTCCCACTGTGGCTGCCTTGTTTAGTCTCTCCCTGATCCTGTTCCCCACTTCCTTTCCCTACAGAAGTGTCCCTCTTGACCCCTTCCAGGAATCTAACATTCTCTTCCTCATTCTCTGGCTGGGAGAAACCTGGGGAGTGGGTGTTTGTGTAGACGCAGGCTGGCTGCCTCGCGCGCTAACGTGGGTTTCTGGCATAGGAGGAACAAAGCTTGCATGCCCCCGATAAAGCCGTACCCAGTACCTCTTCTGTTGGAGCTTGCTCTGAATTAAACAATGGTAAAAATAGGCAGCAGATCATAAAGTCAAGAGCCTGATCACAACTGTTATTTATATGCTCTACACTGATGCTCATTGGCTTTCATTCTTTTTTTAAGTTTTTTTTTTTTTTTTTTAAAGTAATCTCTACACCCAGTGTGGAGCTTGAACCCACAAACCCTGAGATCAAGAGTCACATGCTTTTCTGACTGAACCAGCCAGGCACCCCGACTTTCATGCCTTTTTTTGTTTTTTTTTCAAAGACTTTATTTATTTACTTGAGAGAGAGAGATAGTAAGAGAGAACATGAATGGGGCATGGGGAGAGGGAGATGTAGGCTCCTCACCGAGCAGGGAGCTTGACCCTGGACCTGATCCGAGGACCCCGGGACCATGACCTAAGTCAAAGGCAGATGCTTAACCGACCGAGCCACCCAGGCACCACTCCCCCCGCCGACTTTCATTCTTAGTAATTGTTACTTTAAAAGGTTTCTCTACTAATAAATATTAACTCATTGTAAAAAATTTAGGCCAAAAAACTGAAGAAAAGGCCTTCATAATCCCACTACCCTGAGAAAACAATCCTCATTACCTTTTTGATGTATAGTCTTCTGCCATTTCTTAGTTACATAGGCGAATGCAAACATATGGCTTATGTAATAATACTGTTTTGGAAGTCTGACCTTCTTTTCACTTAACACTTACCCTGATCATTTTCTCAAGGCATTAAAAATTTTCCTCGAATGTCTTTTTAAATGGCCGCAGAACATTTGTTTGTATGAATTAATGGCAGTGTTATACAGGCAGTCCTTTCTGACCGGAAATTGTTTTTGGCACTGTTGATGCAGTTTTAAGATGAGCATTCCTGTAGCTGTCGCAACCCTGAACCTTTCCTAGGACAAAATTCTTACAGCAGAACTGCTGAGCCATGCTTTATTTTATTTTTTTTAAAGCTTTCGACATGCAATAATATTTACTTTTTTTCCCCTCCAGACACTACAACAGCAGGAGTGCAAACTTCTCTACAGCCGAAAAGAGGGTCAGAGGCAAGAAAATAAGAACAAAAATAGATACAAAAACATCCTGCCCTGTAAGTAGTAATGTTCTGTTCAGTAACAGTGACTCTTGGAGTGTTGGCTTCCTCAGTGTCCCTGTAACTTTTCTTGTGCATCACGTGCCTCCTCAGAAGATCCGAGGCCTTAGCCCCTTTCAGTTGTGAGTGGTTTCCAGAATCGTCAAACATGGTGGGATGGTTGACGTTTACTGCGTTCCTGTGCTGCCCATCCTGGGTCAGACTGCCACCAGGTGATCCTTGAGTGGGTTGTTTCCTTCTGTTAATTAATTTTATCTGCCTAAGAGTGAGAATCTCAAGGCTTGCCATCTCCCAGGGTCAGGCCACACCAAGACCCTTAGCGGGCCCAGGCTTGTGTCCTTGCCCTTCGTTCAGCACTCAGCCTGTGGGGCTTGGGGAAGGCCCACCTCCTCGCTGGGACTCCATTCCCTCTTCTGGGGAATAGGCAGTCTCCCCCCAAGGACTCTTCAACTGCTCTGCTCCCTGACCTCTGGAGCTTGGGTTACAGAAGATACAGGTACATACCTAGACTTAGCTTGAAAAGGACCCAGAGGTATCCATAAGGCGTTTAACACCCGAGTGCTGCCCAGTAGAGCCCAAGCCGAGCCACAGAGAACAAGGGGCCTGGAAGGATGGAGGTCTTAGTTGAGGACCCCAGAGATGGCAAGAAGCAGTTGTCGTAGCCCCTCTTTCCTGAGGGCTGACCCTGTGCCAGGCTCTGCATCGGTCTCACTTACTTCTTACCCCAGCATAGAAAGCAGACATTCTGATTTTCCCAGTTTTATAGACCATTTCCGCAAGGTTGCAAGCAAGGGAGAACGGGCTTCGGAGCCCCCAGAGCCACGGTCTTAGCACCATGCTCTTTCTCGGAGGGATCTCCAGAGGGGGCTGTGCAGGGTGGTCTGCTGGGGGGAAGGGAAGGAACATTGAGAACTTCTTTTGATTTATATCCTTTATCTAAAAAGAGAAAGAAAGAAAAATTTAAATCTGACATACAGATTGATGGCAGTGCATGCATAATGTATTTACCAACTTAAAAATAGGGCTTGTTTGTATATGTATGTGTATATATTTCGGTGTTCAAAAACTTCACAATTAAAGTTTATTGGAATGCATGAGCAAATTTGGTGAGCACTGCAGTAATGTCTCATCAGATCCAAGCCATTTTGTCAGGTATCATAAACCCATTGTGCTTGCGTGCGTGAGTGTACGTGTGTGTGCCTGTGTGTGTGTGTGGCATGGTCTTTCCGTGTACATAGGTACATGTACATGGTACATATGTATATCGCATATGGTTATTTATCAAATATGGTTATTTGAATTGTGTGTAGGTGAGGATGGGAGAAAGTGGAGGCGTTAATAGTAGTGAGAAGAGGTGATAGGAATTTGCAGAGAATCAATCTGAGTCACAGCATGGTCCTCATGACCTTGGGGAAGCCTCATCCTGTTTATGTCTAAGTTTTCCTTTCTGCTCAGGAGACCTAATGGAACTCGTTAGTAAGATGCAGGGATGTAGGAAAAGGTGACGGGAACAATAGTATGCAGTATTTGAATAGAGTATCATTGCCTTTTCCTCTCTTAAAAATCCCAGTCAGATGCTTCCTCTTGATTAACATCTTATTTCTTTAGAGATGGGGAGTTTGAGACATGTAGCTGTATTACTAATTCCCATTGTAAAATAATTTTTTAAGAGAGGGAAGGTGGGGAGGGGCACAGGGAGAGGGAGAGAGAGAATCTCAAGCAGGCTCCATACCCAGCGTGGAGCCTGATGCGGGGCTCCATCTCACAACCCAAAACGAGTTGGACACTTAACTGAGTCTCCCAGGAGCGCCCCACCCCCCATGGTAAAATAAGTTGCTTAGGTAGAGCACTCAGACTCCTGTATCAATCATGTACTTTTGTACAGAATTTAGTCAGTTGATACTATCAAAATCTTACCTTCTAGATACGTATTTCATTCTGCTTCATTAAAAAAAAAACCCCACCATTTGTATTATGGAAAGTTTCAAATATATTCATAAGTAGACAGAATAGTATAAAAAACCATACCTACCCACTGCCCTGCTCTCAGTGTTGTCAACTCATACTCAGTCCTGTTTCATTTATACTCTGAGCCACTCTTCCTCTCTCCCCAAATTATGTCTAAGTGAATCTCAGACATTATGTCATTCATCTGTACTTTACTCTTCCTTTTGTTTTTTTAAAAAAAGCCACCTTTTTGTTTTGAAATACTTTTAGACTCACAAGAAGTTACAAAAATATACAGAAGGTTCCCATGTACTCTTTTTTTAAAACATTTTTTAAAAGATTTTATTTATTTATTTGACAGAGAGAGATCACAAGTAGGCAGAGAGGCAGGCACAGAGAGGGAGAGAGAGAGAGAGAGAGAGAGTAGGAAGCAGGCTCCCCGCTGAGCAGAGAGCCCGACTCGGGACTCGATCCCAGGACCCTGAGATCATGACCTGAGCCGAAGGCAGAGGCTTAACCCACTGAGCCACCCAGGCACCCAGTTCCCATGTACTCTTTATCCAGCTTCTCCCAGTGATAATATCCTGTAGATCCATAGTAAATTGTCAAGACCAGGGAGTTCCCGTTGCTACTTTTTTCGTCTTAAAGATAGCATTATGAAGCATCATGTGGTGTTCAGATCATTGTTGTGCTCATTTAGGATTTAATCTTTTATGTGGTTTTATCATTAAGTGAACAAAACTTGGACTGGGTGGAAGGGTAACTGATTTGAAGTGACGTGTCCTGAGGAAGTATGACTGTGGTCTCTTTTTCTTCCAGTTGATCATACCAGGGTTGTCCTACACGATGGCGATCCCAATGAGCCCGTTTCAGATTACATCAATGCAAATATTATCATGGTAATCTTTGCTTTCCACAGTGTTTTCTGACAGTACATTGCCAGCCATTGTTTGTATTTTATGTTTTATATTGCTTGTGACCCTGAAAGCAACATTCAAGTGTTTGATGGATTTTCTTCCTGAAATTTCTAGCCTGAGTTTGAAACCAAATGCAACAATTCAAAGCCCAAAAAGAGTTACATTGCCACGCAAGGCTGCTTGCAAAACACGGTGAATGACTTTTGGCGGATGGTATTTCAAGAGAACTCCCGAGTGATTGTCATGACAACGAAAGAAGTGGAGAGAGGAAAGGTATACTCAAGTTCTTCTGACACAGTATTTGTAAAGTATTGGCCATGTCAGGTTGAACATGTTAAGAATTGAATAAACACATTAAGCTGATTCTAACTGACCCTCTGGAGAAAAGAGAGTAGAAGAAATTTGGTTGTGACATGCCTTGGTGTAGTTTTCTTTATGTTCCTTCTGCTTGGGATTCATTGAGCTTCTGGAATCTGTGGCTTTATAGTTTTCTCTGCATTTGGAAATGTTTTATTATTTCTGCATACACAGGACAGCAATTACACGTATATTGGGCTGCTCGGCATTGACCTGAGGCCTACTGAGGCTTTGTTCATTTTGTGCGGTTGTCTTTTCTCCCCCTTCTTTCATTTTGGATAGTTTCTTTGGCTGTGTGTCTTTAAGTTAATCTTTTCTTCTGCAGTGTGTCACCTGCTGTTATTACTATTAGTGTGTTTTCCATAGCAGACATTGTTTTTTTCATCTCTAGAAGTTTTATTATTGTTGTTGTTTCCTTTTAATGCCTTCTATGTCTCTCTTTTTAACTTATACCTTTTGGACATATGGAGTATATTTGTAATAACCGTTTTAATGTCCTTATTAGTGATTTCACTGGTCATATAAATTATACTTGTCGTGACGTGTGAGCATTTAAACATTAATTTGAATTATTTAAGCAATATAGTCATATACATATCCAAACACATTATGGTTATGGTTAAAATTGCCTTTGTCACTGTCCCTTGTCCACCCATTTAAAGTCCCTGTCACCAGAGTGATGTGTATCCCTCCATGCTCTCTTCTTGGCATTTACATACATACATGTGTGAGAGGCATTTACACGTATGCGTGTGCTTACATATGTATGTGTGCCTGTGAGGTATATAGCACTGTTTTCTGGAAAAACACTGTATGCAAAAGTGTTCTCATATACTAACTTTGTCACGCATCTTGGGCCCCGCCCAAATGAATGTTCTAATATCTACTATTCGTACATAGTAGCCTGTTGACTTCTTTTTAGTAATTGCATGATGTTCTGTAGTAAGGCTGTACCATAAGTTATTTTACCATTATGAATCGGGCACTTAAATGTTTCCGTTTTTGCTGTTAACAAACAGTGCTAAAGTGAATAATCTTATTCTTACTTCTGTGTGTGTGTGTGTTTGTGTGTGGCACGTGTTTCTCTAGGTTAGATTTCATAAAAAGGAATGCTAGGTCACAGGGTAGGCATGTTGTAAGTTCGAAGACACTCCGCCAAACTGCTCCCAGAGTGGTTGTCCCAGAATGCCCCCCCCCCCGCCCCCAACCCAGCTGCTATGTCAAGTACTCCTCTCCCCACACTCTTCATGACACTTCAGGTTTTAAAAATTGTAACAGCCCACACCTACAGAGAAGCAGACAGATCTCATTGAGTGACATTTCTCCGTGTTATCCCAGAGTGAGCCCATCCATGTGGGTTTTTAATGTGGAAAAGTTCTGTGTTTTAGTCAAAGTTATTTTGTAGTTAACTTTAATTGGTTTACATAAAATTTGCATGGAATATAGCAGCCATACCTTTAAGTTAAACCTGAGACAGATGAGTGATTCTGGATTTTAGCGCTCCTGATGTAATTTTCCTATCAGTTTTGAAGGGCAGCATGATTTTGTAGGATTTTCATTGTTGTGCTAACTAGTCGTCATGCTTCTGAAAACCTTTAAGGCCGGATCTGGTCATTGTGAAACAGAGGCTTCCTCCAGCAGCTCCCCGCAGTAACATCAGATGTTTAACTCAGGCACCTGCCCGAGTATAGAAAGGAAAACTGAGCCATCTGTGCTGCCTGTTGTCTGGTTCATAGGCGGCTACCTTTCCTTACAGGACTTGGGGGCACAAAGAGAAGGTTCTTGTGTCACTTCAGGGGGATTCGTTTTGGTCTCTTTCGGAAGACCTGCCGGAAGCTCCTAGAACAGGCAGACATTGGGCCAAATCAGCCTGCCCCTCTGCTTGCCTCCACGCTGCAAGTCTGTGCCTGCTTCCTGCTTATGCTCTTCAGTCCCAGGGTGGAGAGCATGATGGATGCATACTCTCCACAGTCCAGAAGTTCTTTTTTTTTTTTTTAAAGATTTTATTTATTTATGTGACAGAGATTACAAGTAGGCAGAGAGGCACACAGAGAGAGAGGGGAAGCAGGTTCCCTGCTGAGCAGAGAGCCCGACGTGGGGCTCGATCCCAGGACCCTGAGATCATGACCTGAGTCAAAGGCAGATGCTTAACCCACTGAACCACCCTGGCGCCCCCAGAAGTTCTGATAGCGTGCTCTCTTGGTCTCAGACTCTAGATTCCCTTTGAGTCCTGGGCTTTGGTTTAAAATGTATTAGCTGTCACATTTTAGAATTTGTTTGCCAAAGTTTACGTCAGAGTTTGGAAAACTAGGAGGAGGGCCGAGGTAGTCTGCTGATGTTCAAAGTCTGCTGAAATGTTTTCAGGGTTGTGATTTAATTTTTTGTTCTCTGTTGAGTCTCTTGAACAACGAACAGTCACAGAATTGATTGGCCAGCAATAGCATTGAGTACAGTTAATATTTAAAGTGCTTATTTGGGGATAATAAAAGTTGTATCAAATCTGTCGAAGAGGTATTTGGATCTACCAAATAGTGCAGGGAGAAAGCTGAATTCAGAATATTAATAAATAATAGACCATATAAGCCATTGCCAGGCAAAAAAGTTGCACTATTAATTCTTCTGTTCAACTTTCCTTCTGCTGTGTTTTTTTTTTTCTTTCCATTAATCATTGACTGAGGGGATGCCTGCAGCTGCTCTCTTAATTATAGTTTTAGCACTGAGTTTCTCTGTCTTCCTAATAGAAAAGGTAAATTTCTCTTGCTGATATTGGTATCTTGGTGGTTGTGGGAAGTCCGCTCCCAGAAAAAAACAAAACACAAAAACATTCTCTGCCCAGACACATCACCAGATATATACAGGCTCATTTCTCATTGAGCTAAATATCTTCCTCTTTGGCACCAAGAATGATGTAGTTGGTGCCATATTTTTCAATCTGTCTGCTCTGACGCCAGCAGCTGTTGCAGGCTCGCTGTTCCCGGGCACCCAGGGAAGCGAAGGGGACGTGTATAGTAGGTAGCGAACGGATCTGGATATAGAAGAAGCAGCTGGTTCAAAACCCCGTCGGCTGCCTTGCTGTGTTGGAGCTGTTCACACGTGGGTTAGATAAGGCACGGAGTCCTCCTACACGAGTGCGGAAATGAACCAGACAAGTCTGGCTCTTTGGGCAACCCGTCCACCTCCAGAGTGCTTGCTTGCCTTCCCTGCAGAGGGACTGGCAGATCTCTGGAATTCAGACTTCAGTGATTGCTAGACAGAACCCTCAGACAGGCTAGTCCCTCATTCTGCATCTTTGGTTCTTTGGAGATAAATGAACAATCCTTGACCGTCCTTTGACATGCGCCTTAGATCAGACAACCCTGCAAAGGCTGCTCTGTCTTTAGGCTTCTCCCTGGTTTTCCACGCACCTGCTTTTCTTATTTGAACTTATTTTTCCTTTTCTTTGAAAATCCACCAGATGCTAGATAGGCCATTTTCTGAATATTGATCATTAAGCAAGACTGGAATTTTTTTTTTTTTCCTGAGTATTTATTTTCCTCTAGTTTAGGCTTTAATTTCAGAATTCACAGAGATTAACTGTCTTTTCTCTGATCCCTTTCAGAGTAAATGTGTCAAATACTGGCCCGACGAGTATGCTCTGAAAGAATATGGGGTCATGCGTGTTAGGAACGTCAAAGAAAGTGCTGCTCATGACTATACATTAAGAGAACTTAAACTTTCAAAGGTTGGACAAGTAAGTATATTGTCGTATTTTAGAGACTTTAGTAACTGGTTTTGGCATGCAGTAATCCGAGGTCATGCGGTTACTCATATTTGCGTGCATTCATGGCCTCATTTACTCACTGATCTATCGGGTGCCTTCTAGGTACCAGGTGCCCAGGTGCATACTGATACATTGCAAACAGGATAGGGGCGATCCCTGCCCTCCCAGAGCCTAGGGAGATGGAAGGTTAAAAACTCAGGAACCAGTTAAGCTTTCCAGTTGGTCTGAGGCTATGAAGGCTTCAGGAAGTTGTTAGAAGCGACTGGGTACCTGAGATGGAGTAGCCAGGGAGGGCCTCTCTGAGGTCGTATCACTTGAGGCCAAGGTGGGGGAGCCAGGCATCCAGAGAGCCCAGGGAAGAGTGTTTCCAGCAGCGGGAACAGCAGTGGCAAAGCGCCTGAGGCCAGTTTCGTGACCACATTCCATGGCGTCTGATCTTAACTGCATGTAGTTTAAGTTTGTCACTGGGGAGACTAACTTTATAAAGCAGGGTTAGATTTGGATTCATTTTAATATCGGAGTTAGAGGGGGCTTATTTTTTCAAGGTCGTATGGGGACCCGGAGATGAGTGAAGTCTTTGAGGAACTGGAATCACGTAGCAGCGAGGATCCACACACACAGACAGCCGTGCTCCCGAGCAGACGGGCTGCAACAGGTCCAAAGTGCCATGAAACGTAGCAAAGGCTGGGTTTCCTTCTGGCTGGGGCGTCAGGGAGATCGTCTCAGAAGACGCTGGGCTTGTCTGGGTCAGGTTTCCACTGGAGAAGATGATGGAGGGAGGGCCTCCAGGTGGAGGTGTCACTCTGAACCCTGATGTGCAGATGAAAGGGAAATGGGGTTTATGGGGAATGAAGGCAAGTGGAGAATCAAGAGAATAAGCCGAAGAGAGGGGGGACCAAGTCTGGAAAAGTGTCAACTGTCGTGTGCAGAATGTGAGCTCCGTGTGTGAGGAGGCTGGGTGTTGGGCGAGGCTGCTGCCAAGTGAACTCAGACGCAGAGCCGCGTGCCAGGGGTGTGTCTGACAGTCCCCGGTGCAGGGGGCCAGGGCCGGGTGAACCGAGGGGCCAGCAGGACTGCTAGGAGGCTGTTGGGTGTTCTGGGTCTGGTGGCCTCCTCTCTAGGTCAGAGCCCAGGGACTCCCACACTTGTTTCCTTATTCCCGCCTTTGCAAATGAATATTATGCAAAATGCCAGAATAAATGGAAGAGGAGTGACAGACGGATGGACGGACGTGCCAGATGCATTGAGGCGGCACCTGCAGGGTGTGGGGAAGAATCAGACGCAATGTGAGGGGACAGTGGCGCTGCGGTGAGGGCAGAAGAGCGGGCAGAGGCTGTGCGGGAAGGCAGGGCTTGCGTGGTCCCGGGGAAAGGTGGTGCGGGGCGGTAGACAGAGGAGGACCGCCTGGAGGAGAGAGAGGAGGCGATGTGAAGGGGTTTGGTTACAGTGTGGGTGGGGGGCGAGGGAGGTGTTAAGGATGACCTCCAGTTCTCTAGCTTCAGCGCTGGGTTGGTGGAGGGGCGGAAGGGTGAACAGGAGGAGGAGGGACAGGTAAAGTGTGAGATGCCTTGGAGACGGCAAAGCAAAGAGGCCAGGGAGGCAGGAATGGAGGATGGCGATGGGGGGAGATGGGTTCCAGAGCATGGCGGATGGATGGCAGCAGGGGGGCAGGAGGAGGAGGTGACCGCAGACGCAGATAGAGGAGCCTACATGCAGTTTCTTGATGCTCTCCATGAGGCAAGGCCATCAACTGGCATTCGAAGGGAATCAGAGACGAATTATCTTTGGAAAGTGGGAAAAGTATTCAATAATAATGTGTAGAGATGGTGAGGAATCCGTTGAGTTTTCAGGCAGCGCTGAATGCCCCGTTGAGCTGGTGAACATGAATGTCCTGCGACACCAATCCCCTGGTGTGATTTTTCTCCATGGGTATAAAACAGAGAAGGTGCGCCGTTGGTTTTGCCCAGGCCTGAGGCTTTGCCCAGGGGTGCGGTGGATGGAGAGAGGTGGAGAGAGGGTGAAAGGGGGATTGTCAGAATAGTACACGGGGGTGGGGTGCACCTGGGTGGCTCAGTTGGTTGAGCATCCCACTCTTGATCTCAGCTCAAGCCCCGTGTTGGGGCTCCACGCCCAGCATGGAGCCTCCTTAAAAAAAAGTCGTATGCAGAACCCAAGCCCGACAAGGGGACAGTGGGGGCAGGAGAGGCGGGTGGAGAGCGGAAGAGGGCTCAGTGGTCTGCTGAGCTCCACGAGGTGGTCGGGGGACCAAAGCGAGCTGGAAGCCTGGGCGGTCGTGGTCCGGGATGGGATGCTGGGACTTCTGATGTTAGCGGGGCTGTGGTTCTGCTGATGGTGGGGTGGGGGGAGGTTTACCCTGCTGCAGAGACGGAGAGAGAAGCTGGAAAAACATAGCTGTCAAACAGAAGTGGAAGACATTTAGAGGACATTGGCCAGAGATACCACATAGGTTCGTTCAATTTTAGGCTCAGCCACCCATCTTCTTGTTATCAGGTGTTTCTGAGTAGCAGGTGGATGTTTCTTCAGTTTTAGTGATAAACCATCCATCTTCTTGCTAACAGAGATTTTTGAGCAGCAGGTACAGGAAATGTTGGCATTTGGGCTTGTGTTTTATACCCATGGGTTGAGGCGCCATCAGAGGACAGGTGATTTCTCCAGAATCCCTGGTTGCATGTTACCTGGTTTTTATAGAACACATTATATTTTTTTCTAAAGTGCTGTGACATGATCTTGTTACATTTCCTAGCAGGGAGGAGTTGGGTCAGAGATCTTTTGGGACAGAAATTTACCAAGGAGGAGGAGCAGGGATACACTGGGCTTCTAGGTTCCTTTCCTGTTGTTCCTGAGTAGCCCCTGAGTTTGAGCTGACTTGTATCATCAAGAAAAATTTTATCATGACATCAGTAAATTAAATGCACGTAATTCACAAAAAGATCTTAATTGTGGTTCAACTAACTTGAATGTCCTGAAGGCCAGTGGTGGTGAACACTGGCTTCATTTTTCTTTCTTTTTTACAAAAAAAATTTTTTTTTTGGATTTTATTTATTCATTTGACAGATAGAGATCACAAGTAGGCAGAGAGGCAGACGGAGAGAGAGGAGGAAGCAGGCTCCCTGCCGAGCAGAGAGCCGGACGCGGGGCTCGATCCCAGAACCCTGGGATCACGACCCGAGCCGAAGGCAGAGACTTTAACCAACTGAGCCACCCAGGCGCCCCTCTTTTTCAAATCTCCTTTAAACACATCAGTAGCTTGGATTTCCTTCAGATACAGAGGACAGAGAGGGAGCAGTCAGCAGGGCTGCTACCGCGGCCTCATCTGGGTAGACCTAGAACGTGGTGCTTTTGGTCTTCTCTAGACTTGACCTTTGTTAATGACCCCCGTCCTCAGAAGGGCACTGGTGACGGTGCCGCCAAGGAGTGGCTGTGTGTTTACTTGGTCTTGTTAAGTCCCTCTCAGTAGCATGGTGAGGGAGATTATCATTCCTCTTCGCACATGAAGAAACTGAGGCTCAGAGGTCTGGAGACCACAGTGATTATGAGTGCGGGGGTTTGGGCCTAAACCCAGCCTTCTGATCACAAAGCTTGACTTCTTACCTACTTTGTATTAAACAGAAGGTTAAAATACTACGATGAAATAATAAAAGTGGGTGTTTTGGGAGAGGGGAGGAGGGGGGCTGGGTGTAAAAAGGCAAAGAGGAATACATGTCTTGAGAAGATAGCTGTTTTCTCATCTGCTGGTAGGAGAGCCCCAGGTCCCAGAAGCTTCAGTCGCCTCCTGAGTTGGGCTACCCATGCACGAGGAGGAACGGGGACGTTGCCTGCCCCTGAGGATTCAGAAAGGTGACTCTGGTTGTAGCTTCCTGAGGAGCTAATTGCTGTCCTGGACATTTTGGTTCTTAGGACAGAGGCAAAGAGTTGCCTTCAGGATTGCTCAGCCAGATCCAAAAGGAGACGTGATTGGGAAACTCATCTGACCTTTACACGGAGCGTGAGGAGACTTGGTGCCCGCCTGTTCCGTTGGCTCACGACAGGTCTGGGGAAGATCAGCACTGGGTGATTCCTCAACCCCTTGATTTATTTAATTCTTTTCTGGTTTTTCTTGGCTCTACTCCAGGGGAATACAGAGAGAACCGTGTGGCAATACCACTTTCGGACCTGGCCGGACCACGGAGTGCCCAGTGACCCTGGGGGCGTGCTGGACTTCTTGGAGGAGGTCCACCATAAGCAAGAAAGCATTATGGACGCAGGGCCTGTGGTCGTTCACTGCAGGTGACTGGCCCCTGCCCCCTCCCTGGGCTGCAGCCTGGCCCCGCTCTCTGTGCCACTAGGGCTTGCTTTTACCCACCCACCTCAGCTCTTGAACTGTGAGAAAAATCTAATCTCTGTTTGAGGCATGCATAAACTGCCTTAAGGGACACTGACCCCGGAGTGTTTTTCTCATGGGTCCTGCGGGACTGCCAGGTGTTGGCGGTGGCCGGGCAGAGGGTGGTGAACTTAATCCTTATTCTCAGGGAGCCCTTACATAGTCTAGTAATGTCTGCTTGTGTTTTTTGCTTTTTAAAAAAACACGGTGATTTAGAATTCATCACTTTGATTGTGATCCTATTCTCTTCTGCCACAGAAATAAGATACATTCCCCGCCCCCCCCGCCCCCATAAGACACTTGTTTGCTTCAAAAGATTTGGACCACTCCCCACCCAGGCTCCAGAAGCCCCGCCCGTGGCCCCTCACCATGGTTTACAGCCTGCTGGCACCCAAGTCTGGGCTTCATGGTCGTACTGGGGAAAGTTTAGTTTCCCAAAGCTCATCCGTACACTGGGCAAATAGCTGTGTGTGAAACTTCACCTTTTCTTTTTTCTTTTAAAGATTTTATTTATTTGTCACAGAGAGAGTACAAGCAGAGGGAGCAGCAGGCAGTGGGAGAAGCAGGCTTCCAACTTAGCAAGGATCCCGATGCGGGATTCGATCCCAGGACCTCGGGATCATAGCCTGAGCCAAAGGCAGACGCTTAAACAACTGAGCCACCTGACTGGAATGTCACTTTTTTTAAAAGCTACTGTTTATTGAGCACTTGTTCTGTTCCAGCCTCTGAGCTTAGTGTTTCCCATACAAGACTGACATTTGATCCACACAACCACCTTGTAAAGTACGTACCATTATCCTCATTTCACAGACGAGAAAACTGAGGGTCAGAGAGGTATGAGACTTGGCTCAGGCACATTGTACTGGAGAAGCTGGGCTCCAAGTACAGTTTGGACTAACTCCAAAACCCTGTGCTCTTAGCTAATCTATTCTCAAATACAAATAGACAGTCTTAAAAATACTCCCAAGAGCAGACATTGTTTCTGTTAATATTAATAGTTGGTTTTGAGTCTGAAACCCCCATGAACGACTTCATTGTCACTGCTCTCTGTCCTTCTGCCCACAGTGCTGGAATTGGCCGGACAGGGACGTTCATTGTGATTGATATCCTTATTGACATCATCAGAGAGAAAGGTAGGTCATCTGGAGGGCAAGAAGCGATAGTTCCCATTTTTAGTTTATGGAAGGAACGTGCTAGTGAAAATAGCCTGGGGGAGAGAATTTGAGTGTTAAAACATTTTCACAAAATCTGGGCTGAGGGCTTTGACTTTCGTTATTTTCGCGGGAGAACAAAAGTGATTCTATTTGAGCTTTTGACATGAAACGCAGCTTAGGAGCTGTGGGTCCCACTACCATGGTCTTTTGTTGACGGTGTGGCGGTGGTCTCTGCCCACCCACCTCATCCAGGCTGACGTTATGGGGTTGGAAAGCGAGGGGGCCCGACCTCCAGCACTTTCTCGGGTAATTTTCTGGAATCATTTGTATCGGTCAGAAGGCCAGTGTAGCCCTTGGAACACGTTCAGTTAGAACATTAAAGACTAAATTTGCTCTTTGAGTCTGCTGAAAGTTGTGCCTTAAACCATTTCATCCCGGCCCTGCGGTTTCTCCTAATGCCTCATGGTGCTTGCTTTGCAGGTGTCGACTGTGACATTGATGTTCCCAAAACCATTCAGATGGTGCGGTCTCAGAGGTCAGGGATGGTCCAGACAGAAGCACAGTATAGGTTCATCTATATGGCTGTCCAGCATTACATCGAAACACTACAGCGCAGGATTGAAGAAGAACAGGTACCGGTGCTGCAGGGGCTGGTGGGCAGGTTTTCATTTTCTTTTCTGGGTAGCTCTGCCAGACGCACTTTTCTTTTGAGCAGGATGGGCCTCTGAGAGATACCTGTCACTGTTGGGAATGGGAATCTCATTCCCACCTAGGAAGGGCCTCTCTTTATAACTCTGATATTTCAGGACAGCTTAGCGTGGGGGATTAGCTGCCGTCGTCCTGGCCTGGCAGTTTGGGAATTCCCAGACAGACCCCAGGAGCTTCACAGGGCACGTTTGGAACTGAAAACCTCGAAGTTTCCAGCCTGTTCTGGTTTAGATCTGGGCTGTCTTTATCCGGATCTCATCTCTTAAACGGATGCTTCACTCTTCATAGCACACAGTAGTTTGAACCATCAATTTGGTTGAGTTGGAAACAGTGAAATTTCAATTTTAATAAGCCATGCATAATGAAGAAGAATGTGGAGTTGGAGTGTTTCCATTTGAAGCTATTCATAACAGACACAAAGCTGAGTTAATTAGGAAGACGCTGAGAGGAGGGAAATGAGGAGACTGCTCCTTTGGGGATCTGGGCGTCTCCCCCACTCCCCTCTCAACCCCGCCGCTCTGCTGCAGAGGGAAGTGTCTAAACAGCACCGATACCTGCCTGCTTTACCCTGTGTATTGCCTTCCAGAGGACCCGGCTTCTCAGGATGCTACCTGCCGGCAAATTGTGAGACTTCCAGCCTAGCAGAACAGCAGCCACGTTATCAAAGCTTGGCTAGCCAAAGTAAGATACCTGTTAGTTAGCTTAGTACGTTCTCAGTTCACGTCAAAACACTAGAGGGGCTCTTGGGTGGCTCAGTCGATTAAGCATCCGACTCTTGATTTCGGCTCAGGTCATGCTCTCGGGCTTGTGAGATCGAGCCCTGGTGTCGGGCTCCACACTCGGTGCAGAGTCTGCTTGTCCCTCTCCCTCTGCTCCTTTCCGCACACGCTCTCTCTTAAATAAATAAAATCTTAAACCCCAAACACTAGATTGTTCCATTGTACAAAAACATCTTCAGCACCAGCAGTTTGGTATAGATATGTAGGGTCAAATAATCAACGAAGTACGGGCTTTGACCTTCATGCCTCAAGTCTGACTTGCTGTCATTGTAAGTTTTGTGAAATATTTAGATGGTTCCTGTCGGCTATTCTCTCGCTCTCTCTCTCTCTCTTAAAAGATTTCATTTATTTGAGAGAAAGAGAGGACAAGCAGAGGAAGGAGCAGAGGGAGAAGCAGACTCCCCCCGAGCAGGGAGCCCGATTCAGGACTCGATCCCAGGACCCTGGGATCCTGACCTGAGCCGAAGGCAGAGGCTCAGTGACTGAGCCCCCCAGGTGCCCCGCTCTAGGGTATTTTCTCTTTGTGTCCCAGTTATAGTGAATTTGGGCCAGGAATAGTTAAAGCGTAAAGTTGCCTAAAGAGAAGGACTTAGGTCCTAATCAATACAAAGAGTATTTATAAACATAGTATAAACACAATTGGTATAACTTCAGGAATATCTTTTTTTTAAAACACTTTGTTAAAAAGTTTTTATTTATTTATTTGACAGACAGAGATCACAAGTAGGCAGAGAGGCAGGCAGAGAGAGAGAGGAAGGGAAGCAGGCTCCCCGCTAAGCAGTCAGCCAGACATGGCGCTCGATCCCAGGACCCTGAGATCATGACCCGAGCCAAAGGCAGAGGCTTTAACCCACTGAGCCACCTGGGTGCCCCTAAATTCAGGAATATCTTGAGGCATATTATGTAATCTTGTTTAGAAAAGCTGGGGAAAAAGCTGTCTTTTATTTATTTATTTATTTATTTGAAGAAATCTCCTTTTATTTCATTCAGAAGCTTCATTTATCCTTGTTTTGGTGACTTAAGGGCTTACCCCTCCCTTCCTTGATAGCAGTTCAGGTGTTCTCATTACCATATACAGTCTCTCTGACCCTAAATCTCAAGCTGTGATTCGGATTTAGGAGCTCCTTTAAGAATATCTTTATCGGGCGCCTGGGTGGCTCAGTGGGTTAAGCCTCTGCCTTCAGCTCAGGTCATGATCTCAGGGTCCTGGGATCAAGTCCCACATCGGGCTCTCTGCTCTGCAGGGAGCCTGCTTCCTCCTCTCTCTCTCTCTCTCTGCCTGCCTCTCCGCCCACTTGTGATCTCTCTCTGTCAAATAAATAAAAAAAATCTTAAAAAAAAAAAAGAATATCTTTATCACTGCCATTTTGGTAAAGAGGTACCGTCATCTGGTAGAAAGCTTAAGCAGTAGCCTTAAGAAACAGTGAGGCGGCCTGAGTTTTAAATTAAGCAAAGGAATGAAACTCACTTAGGATCATTGATTATTCTTTTCAATACCATCATTTCCACAATTCTGACGAGTTAAGGACCTTCGGGACTGAAGGAATTTTCGAAAGAGGGTAGATGAAAAACGACCAGCACTGAGGTGGTGAGCCTGGGGAAGGAAACAGGAAGTAACAGCGGCACTGGGAGGAGGCGAAGCAGAAGCAGGTGGGCGTCCAAGGGAAGGTGCAAGTGAGGGGAGTTTGAGAAAATTCTCAAGTTTTTATAAAGGGTTCTTCCCACACTCTGCCATTTACTTGAAAGTAGATTTCTTTATTAACTTCCATTTACAGTATTAAAATTTTTTTTTAATTTGCAAATTTAATTTAAAAACAGTGCATGGAATTCCCTGCACCCTGTTAACATTTCAACACACTTTATCATTCATTTGTATTTTCTCTCTATATCTACAACGTGTGCTTCTAAAAAGGAAATGCTCGTAAGTTGTCAACCTTTTTGCGCCCCTGCCTCTTAATGCTCTGATGTGTGTGTCCTGGAAATGAAGACATTCTTCCAGCTAACCATTGTGAAGTTAGCATTGATACAGCATGGTTTTCTAGTCTGCAGACCATATCAAATTTTCCAGTTTGTCGTCCTCCTGTCTTTCTGTGGTCCAGGGTCCCCTGGCGCATTTGCTTGTCACATAGCTTTCCTTTCCTCTGGGACAGTTTCTCGGTCTTCATCTTCCTCGCCCTTGCCATTTTTGAACGGTTCAGGCCAGTTATTTGATGGAATACCCCTCAATTTGGATTTGTCTGATGTGCTCTCTTGATTAGATTCAGGTCATGCGTTTTTGACAGGCCTGTCATAGAAGCCACGTTCCGTCCTGATACCTCCTGTCAGGAGCACCTCTGTTGACGCATTTCACGGCTGGCAGTGTTCTCTTTGATCACTTGTTGAAGGTGTTGTCTGTCAGGTTTCTCCACTGTGCAGTGACGATTTCCCCCTTTTTATTTTACTTTATTTCATTTATTTATTTTTTTAAAGATTTATTTATTTGATAGAGCAAGCACAAGTAGGGGAGTGGCAGGCGGCGGGGAGAGGGAGAAGCAGGCTCCCCTCGGAGCAGAGAGCCTGATATGGGGCTCGATCCCAGGACTCTGGGATCATGACCTGAGCTGAAGGCAGATGCTTAACAACTGAGCCACCCAGGTGCCCCGATTTCCCCCTTTTTACGTAGTATCTTATAGGGAGATGTTTGAGACTATATAAATAACCTGCTTTCAATCATTCTTTTTGCCCAGTAATTTTACATGTACTCACTATGCCTGGAAAATTTACTCCTGCGATATCTGCCCAGTGGTGGTTTCCTACTTCCATAAGTCCCTTTTCACTTATTAGTTGGGAGCCTTCTCTAAGGAAGAGCTTTCCCTTCTCATTCATTCATTCATTCATTCATGTCAGAATGGGTGATAATCCATTGCCACTATTTATTTTGTTGCTTAGATTGTCCCACATTTGGCTAGTGGACACCTGTTCAAATTGGTTCTTCTGTCCTTTTGATAGTTCCCTTTTTAAAAAAATATTTTATTTATTTGTTAGAGAGAGAGAGAGCATGAGCACAGGCAGACAGAGTGGTAGGCAGAGGCAGAGAGAGAAGCAGGCTCCCTGCCGAGCAAGGAGCCCGTTGTGGGACTCGATCCCAGGATGCTGGGATCATGACCTGAGCCGAAGGCAGCTGCTTAACCAACTGAGCCACCCAGGCGTCCCTTGATAGTTCGCATTTTTGAGTACTTCCTTACCCCCCCCCTTTTTTTTTAAAGATTTTATTTATTTATTTGACAGACAGAGATTACAAGTAGGCAGAGAGGCAGGCAGAGAGAGAGAGGGAGATGCAGGCTCCCTGCTGAGCAGAGAGCCTGATGCAGGGCTCGATCCCAGGACCCTGGGATCATGACCTGAGCCGAAAGCAAAGGCTTTAACCCCCTGAGCCACCCGGGCATCCCCCTTACACTTTTTTTTAAATGAAGTTTTTATTTAAATTCTAGTTACTGTACAGTGTGATATTGGTTCCAGGTGTAGAATTTATTAATTCAACACTTAAGTACAACACCTTGTGGTCGTCACAAGCGCCTTCCTTAATCCCCTCACTAGTTCACCCATCCCCCTACCCCCTCCTCTCTGGTAACCATCAGTGTGTTCTCTGTAGTTAAGAGTCTGTTTCTTGGTTTGCTTCTCCCCCCCCACCCCCTGTTCATTTGTTTAGTTTCTTACTCCCTTATATATATTTCTTAGATTTTTAATTTATTTATTTGAGAGAGACCGAGAAAGAGCGAGAGCTCTGAAGGGTCAGAGGGAGGGGGAAGAGCAGACAGCGAGTCTGATGCGGGGTTCGATCCCAGGACCCCGGGATCATGACCTGAGCCACACAGGTGCCCCATCTTGCTTCCTTACACTTTCTGATGCCAGAATATGAAGGCGTGTCCTGTACTCTCCAGCTGTTTTTCCCGGGAGCCCTGATTCTTTCTCTTTATTGTAGAGTGGTATTTTGAAGCCAAGATCTGGCTGTACTTACTGGTACTGTATAGCAGTATTTGTGTTGCTAATTAGCTAATTAATTACTGCTGTAGTTGAACTTTTGCTATACAACCTCATATTAATGTGGGTTTATATATTCTATTGTATATATAACTCTCCTTTCCATCCAGTAGTTTTTTTAAATT